CTCATGCACTAGGAGGAGCATGATTTTGTTTTTCCAGCTGTAGAGACTTTATGTTTAGAATTCTGGGAACTTTTGCCTGAGTCAGGGCAGGGGTGCTCTGAAGAGGCTGTAGAAGCTTGTTCCTGTTGTTGCAGTTTGGCAAGTGATCATGATCAAAGAGAAAAAGAAGTTGGAGATATCCTGACAAGACTAGGCTTGCCCCCAATGAACTTGACACCCCTAGGCAGCAGGAAGAGGTCTAAAGAGGTCTAGGCCCCTTTCCCCTATAACCTTTCTCTCCTACCTGGTGTTGGGGTTTCAAAGGATTAGTGTGGAACAAGGGTTGAAAGGGTGGTAGGTTTAAGAACCCAATAAAGTAGCCAAAAAATAGTGCCAATAAATAAATAACTGTAGTAAAAATATTAAATAATCCCGTATAGGGTTTCTACCCACCTCTGACCATTTTTGTTCCTGGATGAAAGGTACACACAGCCTTTATACGTTTAAATATTCCTTAGGCAGCACAATAGCTGAGCAACTGCCTACCCTCCATGCTGTTATAATCTGCCTTCCTAGTGATAACCTTGAATCATCACTTACTGTGTTTCATTGTTCCATCTGGGCTGCTCTCAGCTCTAGTTGGCCAGCCCTCTGGCCATGCTCTCTTGGCCTCTAGCCCATGGCGGCTCAGGCTCTCCCTTCTGTGCGTTGTTCTTCCATGGCTGCTTCCTTCTTTTTTCTCTTCTCCCCTCCTCTTGGTCTACTCTCTCTAAACTCAAGAAAATCTCAACCCCACCTACGACCACCCCCCCCCCAAGCGATGGGCTGTCAGCGTCTTTATCACCAATCAGAATTAACTTGGGAACAAGTTCCAGGGGCTACATGCAAACTCCAGGTTTTGGGAAATCACATGTAGTATTACAATAGACAGTAAAAGACAAAACCTCAACAAATAAGTATACAAATTTTTAATAAAAATGAGGCCAGCAAAATGGCTGAATAGGTAGAGGAGCTTGCTGCCAAGACTGGTGCTCTGAGTTTGATCCTGGGATCTACACAGCGGAAGGAGAGAATTGACTCATGAAAGTTGTCCTCTTGTTAGAACAACAGCCTCTTGGTCAAAAGAATAGAATCTACAGCCGTGGTGGAGACCACACATTCTGGTTGGGTGTGTCATTCTTCTGCCAGGCCCACGAATAGCAGGCTCATCTTAAGCTAGGAGACTGGACAAATAAGTCATGTAATAGGATACTGTACTTTTCCTCCACAGAATCCCTGTCCCCAGTGCCATAGCTTAGAGTCATGTCAGCCCAATCTTCTGAATTATTGAGAAAAGCGTAATGACTTTTCTTTTTCTTTCTTCTATCTTTATTTTTGTTTGTTCTTTGAGACAGGGTTTCTCTGTGTAGCCCTGGCTGTCCTGAAACTTGCTCTTTAAACTAGGCTAACCTTGAACTCACAAAGATTCACCTGCCTCTGCCTCCCAAGTGCCAGAATTAAAGGCATGTGCCACCACTGCCTGGCTTCTTCTCTTTTATAAGCATGTTTTCCTTAATACTTTGGGCTTCAAACACACAACATTTTGGACTTTCTTTAAAGCCCCCTACCCTGCCACACAGCTCTTGTCAGCATGGCTGTTCCCCTTCTCTCCTCCAACCTCCTCCGTTGGATATCTGCTGAGGTTTGCAGCTGGCTGGACCTGGGGTTTTCTTTTAAATTCTAGTAAAAGTCTTTGAGCTTCCATTTCTGTGTATTCTTAGATTCTTTTATTACTGAGACCAAGAAACACAAAAGCTGGAGAGTTGACACGGTGGTTAAAGGTCCCTAGTACTCTGGCACAGGACCTAGATTCATTTCCCAGAACCCACCTGATGACTCACAGGCGTCTGTTTCCAGAGGATTCAATGCCCTCTTCTGGCCTCTGCAGGCACCAGGCATGAAAGCGGTGCACAGAAGCACATGCAGACAAAACACTCAGACACATAAAGTAAAAAGAAATAAACTTTAAAAAGAACCCCAAAAAGGGACCCTGATTTCCAAGTATCACTCTGACCTCTACTGAAGCACCATGGCACATACACATAATAAATGAAAATAAAATTGGGCAAGAGACATGACCCAGGAGGCAAAAACACTTGCTGCTCTTCCAGAAGATCTGGTTTGGGTTTGATTCCCAGCATCTTCAGTGTGGCTAACAAGCATCCGTTTCTCCAGTCCCAGAGAACCTGATGCCCTCTTCTGAGCTCCATGGGTATTGAATACACACAGGGAATAGATATACACGCAATCAAAACAGTCATACCCATAAAATAAAATCTCAGAAAAAATATAGAAATCTCTTCCTACCAGGGACCCCACAGCTACCACAAGTAGCACAGATCCAGTTAAGAGCAGATCTCATCTCTTATTAAATGTGAGGGTGCAGTAAAGAGGCTGTACGTAAAGCTCCATGGTTGAAAAGGGAAAAGTTTATTCCACACTACCAAGGCTATCTCTTGGGAAAGCAGAGAGAACGGGGTGGGGAGGAGTATATCTCTAGGGCTATAAAAGAATAGGTACCTTTGAAGAAGGGAGCCTGTGAGCTGAGGTGACTTTGAAGTATATAGCACTTTGGGACTTTGAAGTACTTTGTGAGTAGGGATTGAGGGACCCTAGAAACTAGCATAGACCTTAATATGCTAATAGGGACCACAAGCATATGTTAATGGGAGAGTCATAGGTCCTTTTTATCCAAGTAAGGAGTCCCTTTATCAAGTAAGAACTATCTTCTCAAGTCCCTGAGAGAATACTGGCTTTTGTCTAAGTGCCAGACTCTGGGAAAAGGAATTTCTCAGCACCCGACAGGAGGAGGACATTGCAGAAAGCCACAACAAGTCAAAATGCAGAGGAAAACTGCCGGATGCACAGCCCCAACCGATATGTTTATAGCATAACTCCTGCACTTTAGGCTCAGGATACATCAAGGAACAGGGCCAGGGAGGGGCTTGTAAGAGCCTGCTGAGCAAGCCACCTGCTGTGAACCTGCTGCGTTCTTGCTGTGTTGGGGAACACTGCTGCCTAAAGGCCTGCACAATTTCAACAACAGTGTGCTATGAAATACAATGCCAGAAGGTGGTACATAGTGGGCCCATGCTAAGGTAATTATGCCAGGCAACAGATCTGGTATAAAGGAGGTTTCCTGGGAGAAGGGAGAGGAGTGAGGATCTGGGGCAGGGGTAGAGGCAGACAGACCAGGGCAGAGCCATGGGGCAGGAGGCAGAGGAGGGGGGGGGGAGGAGACTGTCAAGGAACACATGTGAACAGAGAGAGAGAGAGAGAGAGAGAGAGAGAGAGAGAGAGAGAGAGAGAGAGAGAGAGAGA